CCCGGCTCCCCGGCCCCCCAGTCTCCCAGCTCCCGGCTCCCCAGTCCCCCCGACCACGGCCCTCCTCGCCGGTCAAGGAGTCTTCCCAGACGCCGGGCAGCACAAGCGCCAGCAGCACGAACAGCACGGCCGCCACGTCGTCCTCCGCGTTCCGCCTCCAGTCGCCGCCATGGCGGCCGCCGCCTTAAGGACCGCGCTAGCGAGGCAGGGACACGATGGCGGCGGGCACGTGACCCCGGCGTGCGGCGCTCCCAGCCTGGAGAGGCGCGTCCTGGCGTTGCTAGGATATGGGGGGGGGGGCCTGCGAGGAAGGGCGGAGCCTGGTGCGTTTAACCCGGTTCTTTCAAAAAGTTACAAAGTGACAAGGAACTGCACGCTGAGAGTCACACAGTGTCGTCTATTGTGTGAAGGTGGGAAAGGAAAATAAAGAATGATAGAAAATGGGTGGAAATGGTAAACTTTATTTATTTTTTATTTTATTTCATTTCTTTTTAAAGATGACCGGTAAGGGGATCTTAACCCTTGACCTGGTGTCGTCAGCACCACCCCTCCCAGGTGAGCCACGGGCCGGCCCCTGTAAACTTTATATTACATAAATTTTATCACAATTAAGAGAAAAAAATTATTAAGTCACGGGAGAGGGAGCTCATAAAAATACCTGGATGGCAGTTAAAATTGAATCTCAGAGAATGAGTAGGTTTCACAGGATAAGCATCCTGTGCAGTATTCACAGTTATACAAAAAAAGTTAACACCAAGGTCAAGGGTTCGGGTTCCATACTGGCCAGCTGCCAAAAACAAAAATAATAAAACATATATATATAAAGAAAGTGTATTAGTCCGTTTCTGTTGCTTCTAACAGAATACCTGAAACTGGGTAATTTGCAATGAAACAATATTTGTTGCTTGCATTTTCGGAGGCTGGGAAGTCAAGAGTTCAGGGAACAGATTTAGTCAGGGCCTTGTTCATGGTGACTCCGCACAGTGACGCAGACTGTCACATGGCAAAATGGCAGAAGCAGAGAGACACTAACCTCCTCACTGGCTCTCCTTTTAAAGCCCTCAGAACCATGCCCATGACCATCATTAAACCATCAATGGATTAATCCATTTACTAGGGCATGGCCCTCACAGTCTAATCACCTCTTCAAGGCCCCACCTTTCAATGACCACAATAGGATCTCCCACCCTCTGAACACTGTCGGTGGGGAATAAGCCTCAATGAACTTTGAGGGGACATCCAATCCACAGCAGAAAGAGTTCACTATTCATCTGAAATTCCAGTTCAAGTGGTCACCAGTCCCGTATTTTGTCTGGCAACCCTACCCCAATGTTACAACAAATACTTAAACAAATGACAAAATAATTTCAAATGATAGTGCAAAAACAGGGTGATGGGGCCGGCCTGTGGCTCACTTAGAAGAGTGTGGTGCTAATAACACCAAGGCCATGGGTTCGAATCCCTATATAGGGATGGCCGATTAGCTCACTTGGGAGAGCGTGGTGCTCACAACACCAAGTCAAGGGTTAAGATCTCCTTACCAGTCATCTTTTAAAAAAAAACAACAACAACAAAAAAAAAAAAACAAAAAAAGCCCTATGAGCAGGGTGATGTACCTTCGTGACCTTGGATTGGACAATGGTTTCTCAGATAACACCCCAGAAGCACAAGCAACAAATAAAAAAATAAACTGGACTTCACCAAAATTAAAAATTGTTGTCCTTCACAA